AAATTTAGGTTTCACCCCATGTGTAAGGAGTTAAAGTTGACAAATAACTGCTTCGTAGATGACCTTATAGTGTTTTGCAAAGAAGATATTCCAACTGTTAAGAATCTAATGCAAGTCTTTCAAGATTTCACTAGCACCACAGGATTAACAACAAACCCTCAGAAGTCTGCGATATATTTTGGGGGAGTGGGACTTAGGCTACAAGAAGAAATATGTAGAATTACCCAGTTTAAACTTGGCAGCTTTCCTATAAAATTTTAGGTGTGTCTCTGCCGCCTAAAAAGTGGTCTCAGTTAGAATGCCAGGAGATAATTAACATTAAGTGCTGGAGTACGAAGCACTTATCATATGCTGGTAGATTGTGTTTGGTAAATTTTGTACTCGTGTCTATGCACTCATACTGAGGTTCATGTTTATTTTACCACGAAGTGTAAATAGTATGATTAATAAAATCTATCGGGAGTTTTTATGGGGTGTTAAAAAGAATGGTAGGGTGATGTCTTTAGTAGGCAGGGAAGAAGTATGCCAAAAGAAAGAAAAAGGAGGATTGGGGATAATGGATGCAAAACTTTGGAATAGGGCATCATTAAACAAATTTGGCATGTGGCAGCTAAGAAGGAATCCCTGTGGGTTAAATGGATACATGGAATCTACATAAAAAATAGTTCCTTTTGGGAAGTTGAAGTGAAGAGTGATACAAGCTGGCCATGGAAACAATTACTGAAGATACGAGGCCATGTAAGAGATGGTTTTGATGGAAGCAGATGGAAAATTTCTAGTAATGACAGATATACAATCAAATCTGGCTACCACTGGCTTAAAGGAGGAGGATTGAAATTGAAAGAGGCACAAAGCATTTGGTCTAGCATGAACATTCCTAAGCATTCCTTCATAACTTGGCTTGCTTGGAAGAAGAGGTTGTTAACAAGGGACATGCTTGTAGCAATGAATCTTCAAGTTCCAGACTTAAGCTGTCTTCTGCACAAACAAGTCAATGAATCTGTAACTCACTTCTTCTTTGACTGCCAATTTGCACAACAAGTGCTTAGGTAGTTGGTGGCCTGGTTAGGGTGCAGGAAAATTGCAGTAACTGAAACTAGATGGAGAAATCAATTGATGAACATTTGAGGAGTTGTAAACTTAAAAGCAAAATCATGTGGGCAGTCATTATGGCTTGAGTGTATCATCTCTGGGAAGAAGAAATCAGAGGCTGTTTTCAGGCAAAGAAAGAGTTCAGGAAGAGCTAGTGAAGTTGATTCAGAGAGAACTAAAGCAGAGAGTTGAACAGAAAAGAAGGAAGCATCACCAATGCTGAAGCAGAGATAATTCAACAGTTATTTTTGTAAAGTGTACGTTGTTTTCTTCTTTATTTCTTCTAAGTCTTTCTAAGAAAATGCGTCAAGTGATTTGTATAGGTGGTGTGGTTTGGGATCATCCCAGTTGAGGTGGGTTATCCTCTGCAATTTTGTAGCAGTAGTAGGAGCATGAGTTGGTTTTTGATGTAAAGAGTGTTATTGACACTTCGGTGGTTGTTAAGTTTTAATATAAAATTTACAAAAAAAAAGAATATTTATTTTGTGGTTTCATCTAAATATTTTCTTATAACAATCATTTTTTTAATCCATTTTGAGACATTAATTTTAGTTTTAAAGTTTATTTTCCTTATTTTGTATATGTTATATATATATATTAAGTCCATTTTTTTATGTATGTATTAATTAGAAACATTAATATTTTTCCTTTTATTCCTCAATTTGCTTTTTTATCTTTTCTTAATGTTTTCTATGATTGTCATAAATTTTTTGCCATCGTCGCAAACGTCATAAAGACTAGTATATTTATTTTCATTACTTTCGGCACCACCACATACACCAATCAAATTAACAAATTAATGTAAATCAATTTATACAAGATATTTCATATTTTAGTATTTATTTACACCAAATTTATCAAAAATATTTAGTTGTCGTGGCAAAAATCGTGGCTGAATCATGTGAAGAAAAAAATTAGTGTTCGAATTAAAAATATTGTTTACTTTGGGTGGTATTATACCGTTGGCAATGTAAATAGAAGGGATTATGATTGCCTTTTTTAAATTTTATTTCTTGCAAAAGGGATCTATAGTGGTTCTCCACTTACCCCCGACGTGACTCGAACCGGTGATTTATTGGAAACAGGGAATGCGTCTTACTACTACGTTGCACCTCATTATCTTATGATTGCCTTATGGTGTTAGAGTTAGTGATAGAAACAAAAATTTATTGACAATAACGAAATATAAAAAAAAATATGAAATGGGACTGGGAAAAAAGAAATCAACATCAATATCCTTAGTATATTCCACACTAAGTTGGGGTCTAAGCGGTCAGATGTCTGCAACTCTACCCTCATATTTATATAAAGAGACTGTTTCTGTTGCGATCCTGGATACGTTGCACCATTTGAAGTATTTATTTCTAACAACTTCACTAATAAAAGAAGCACTGGAATTTAATAGAACCATTTTGATTTAGACCATTATTAGCACAAAAATGAAACAATTATCAATGATGACTTTTCCAGCTCCATTTGCAATGGACAATGATTGAGAAAAGGAAATATTCTTCTAAACTAAAAGAAAATAATTTGAAAAGAGAAGGTCTTTGTATATTTATAATTATTACATATAGGAAAATAAAAAAATAAAAAAGTAAAAGATTCTAGTTTAAACAAAAAGGAAATACAAAAAATATTATTATTATTATTAAGAAAATATTTAGATGACAATAAATAAATAAAATTGAGAAAATATCATCTCAATGCATTCCAAAAGCAAAAAATGAAAAAAAAAAGAAGGAAATTATCAGAGGAACAAAAATTAAAAAAAAAGGAAATACTTTTTAAATAATTTTTGAAGTACCTTAAGGGGTATTTTTCAAAACTTTTAGAATTTGAGGTTGGACAAAAATCATTCCTTGGGATAAATTCGAAAAATTATAATATGTGCAGACTAAATTGACGACCATAATAATCACATATTATAATGGTTATAATGGTTAACCCAAAATAATTAACTGAAACTACCAGTATACTTAGTAGCTTCAGCTTACAAACATTTCCCTTGCAACCCATCCATGTGGGACTCTTAGAGCAGCTTGCTTGACAAGCCTTCTTGGAAGGTTATCACAAGTGCGATGGCTCAGGACCCAAAATGATAGAGGACTCAAAACTTTTCAGGACCCTTTAATAGATTTTGTATTCTTTTTAACTAGTTGGATCTTACTCGCTTTGCGCGTGTCCGATGTATGACATAATTTAAAGAGTGTATAACAAAAAAAGAAAAGATAGAAATAAATCATAGAAAAAGTTTTCACATTTTGTGAATCATGATAATTGTATGAAATTTTTTTTAGGAGACCAATCTTTTATGCATTGATAAGGAAATTTAATAACCAATTCATACGCATGAGTAGAATTACACATTAAGAAAATTCAATTTACATGAAGTAGAAAATGAAATCATATGTTTTCTCAGTCCAAATTAGTTTCATTAGAAATTACATACAACTCATAGTTATAAAGGTTACTCTAAACAGAAGATTGCCCATTTGGACCATTTTCACTTACGAAAGCCACACAAAATGCCAACTGAAGAGACATTGTAGACCTAGACAATAAGAATTGAAAGCATAATAAGATTAATTTGATCATTCTAAAGATTACCCACGTAAAAGGATAAAATTAAAAAGGTGAAGTATATATTAACCTGCTGCCAATGCAGCTGCCTCTTGGACATTGCACTTTCTGTGCTTATTTTTAAAAAAATTCTATCAATAAATTTGCAACGAAACACTACCTCTCTTTTCAATTTTCCTAAAATTAATAAATCTTTAAAACTATTAAATTCATCATTAAAACCATTAGATTTTAAGGTTAAGAATTTGAAAAGATTGTGCCATGAACACTCCTTACGTGGCATCAATTAGAATAATAATTACATACAGTTAATTAATAGTAGTTAAAATAATTAAATACCAATTTATTTTTTAAAAATATTACTGTTTGAACTCTCATTAAGCTGTTTTTTTTTTCGGTAAGCTGGCATTCTTCTCTCTCCCGCAAACCCTAACTTTGATGGCTAGTTTTGTTTTCCGGCCACCATGGCCGGCGTGGCACGAACGCAACCACGGCTGTCCCCACTGGACAAAGTCACACCTGTGCAAGTTTCTTTGCAAAGCCAGTGATCTCAAACCCACCTTTGGAGAAATCGGGCTATCCCATTCACTCTAAGAAGGTTACCTTCTTCAATGGGACGCCGGAGCTCGAGTAAGATGATGAGGAATTTGAAGAATTGATTTCTCCTCACAAGATGAATCTAGTGGGGAAATTCTCATATGGAAGGCCAAAAATGGAGGTCTTGCTCGAGGATTTCAAGAAAATTGGGTTCAAGGGATCATATTTTCTTGGTCTCATGAATGCATGACATGTTTTGATTCGATTCGAATTGGAGGAAGATTATCAACGTTGTTGGATCACATCCTTATGGAATATTGGAGGCTACCAAATGCGGATTTTGAAATGGAAACCGGGTTTAAAGTTCGAAGAAGACCCTCCGATCGTTCCAATATGAGTATCGCTTCATGAGCTTCCCTTGGATGAGATCCGCAGTCGAGAAGCCCCTTCAAGTAGACACACCAACTCTCAATCTAACAAGGCCGTCTGTGGCACGTTTTTGTGTTGAGGTTGAACTAACAAAGGAGTTGCCGAAGTCGATTCGTATTGGGAGAAAAGGGAAGAAGTTTGAGCAACACTACACATATGAATACGTTCCGTCATACTGCCCGGCTTGTTGCAAGATAGGGCATAAAGAATCAGATTGTAGGAAGGGTAAAGGAGTGGCTTTGAATGTGTTAAAAGCTGATGGTTTAAAGAAGGTTGAAGAAACCGATAAAGAGGTGAACTTAGCCGGAAATAAGAAGGGAATTCGACAGCAGCAAAAAGTGACTTGGGGCTCTAAAAAGATGGGAAAGAAGACTGAATTGCAGGTTGAAATCATTCAGGAAAACCCCCTGATTGTTAAAGGTGTGGATACGCAAGTCATTGAGTCGCAGCCTGAGGAAACCCTAGCTTCGCGACTTGCAGAAACCCTAGAAGCGCGCGTTGGGGGATCAACGTCAGGTTTGACAGCGAAGGAGAAGTGTGTTGTTCCTGTTGTAATTGTGGATAGTCCCCCTACTGATTCTGGGCGTCATCATGTGGAGGATACTGTCCATACTGATCCTGAGGCTCGAGTTGTTGATGATATGCAAATGGAGACCAATGCGCAAGGGGTAGTTGGTCCTCCTTCGCAATCAGCTCAACTTGTAGTCTTGCAGGATATAGAAGCACTGAATGACCATTCTAACCATGTGATCTGGATAAATCAGCTCCAGTTTCGCAATCAAACAGTTTTGCGATCCTTCATGACGTAGATGAAGAAGGTGATGCGGTAAATGAAGGTGATGCGTTTAAATCTCCAGGGAATGATGATGATAATGATGATGTGGAGAATGTGTTTACGGAAGAGCATAATGACAGCCAGTTGGTTCCAGTCGACAAGGTTGTCTCAAATAATATGGTTAATGAAGGTTTGCCTTCAAAGTTTTTTTATCCGGATGATTCTTTGGCTGCGGATTTGATTGAAACGGATGATGATGATGTTGTCCATGATGATTGCTGGTCTGATGGAGATAAGGATGTGGCTGACTTGGATGAGAAAACGCAAGGGGAATGCTCAAAGAAAAAGAAGCGAGGCCGCAAATCGAAGGAGGAGCGCGCCAAGCTGCTGGATGGTAAAGAGCTTCGACGATCTCTTCGCCTTTAATAATCTCCATAATTTTTTAATGATCTAAGTGTTATATTTTGGAATATTAGAGGAATAAGAAAAGAAGCTTCTCAGTGACGCTTGAGAAATCTCATTCGGATGTATAGAGTTGCGTTTTTGGTGATTCTGGAACCAATGTTAGCTACAGATAAGTTGGATGAAATAAGGCATGAGCTGAACTTTGATTTTACTTTCTCTTCAAGCACTAGCAAGATTTGGGTTGTCCTTAGTAAATTACTTACCGTTAGTTGGTTGGAAGTTGGTGAGCAAATGATGCATTTTGAGGTTGGATATGTGCCTCTTCAAAGGAGTTTTCTACTCACTGCAGGCTATTCCAAGTCAAATAAGGTGGAGAGAAGAGCATTATGGGCATATTTGGTAACTTTCAGAAGTATGCATCCATCCCAACCTTGGGTTGTTGGGGGAGATTTCAATGTCATAAGGTCTCTTGATGAGTATTCGGGTACCTCAGTTCAGGATTATGGTGCCATTGATGAATTTAATCAGTGTATTGAGGCGAATAATCTAATGGAAGTCTCTTTGGTTGGTGATGAATTTACTTGGGGTGGAACACGTACTACTGGTTGGGTTAGCAAGAAGTTGGATCGCATTCTTTTCTCTCCGGAATGAATGGAAATATCCCTGCGGGTTTCCATTGAGCATTTGAGTCGAACCACTTCGGATCACTCCCCATTGCTACTTCAGTTTGATGCTCAACTTGAGACTAGGCCGAGATGTTTCAGGTTTAAGAAAATGTGGCTTTGACGATGTGAGTTTAAGGATATTGTTAAAGCTAGCTGGTTGCAACCGGTTGGTAGTTTAGGCATGATGGCCTTCTCTAAGAAGCTTCGTCGTTTGAAACTTGTTCTAAAGGAATGGAATAAAACACAATTTGGTGATTTCTTTGAAAATTTGAAAATGGCGGAGGATAGAGTGAAGGAATTGGAAGCTGTTTATGGTCATTCTAGTCATGCAAATGATAGGCAAAATCTAAACTTGGCTACTGCTACTTTGCTTCAAAAACTTAAGGAACATGATGACTTTTGGAAGCAGAAAATGCGGTTAACATGATGACTCTTGCTAAAAGAAAGTTGAGGATGGGGATCCAAAAGATTCAGACTAAGGATGGCCGTGTTTTAACAGAATTAGAAGATATAGAAAAAGAGGCGGTGGATTTTTTTCAAAATCTCCTTACAGAGGAACCACCTCATTTGCAGAAAATGAAAAGCAACAAGTATTCCTGGTACATTTGAATGATGAATTGAGTTTGGAAGATAGGGAAATGCTTGTTAGGCAGGTTACTATGGAAGAGGTGAGGGCGGCGGTTTTCAACCTTGATGAAGATAGCGCGCCTAGAATCGATGGGTTTGGAGGGTGTTTCTATAAAGCCTGTTGGGATATAGTAGCGGAGGATCTTCTAGCTGCATGTGAAGATTTCATGGGGGGTTTCCAATTCCGAGAGCTGTGGCAAGCACCATGATCACATTAATTCCAAAAAAGGTTTCGATTAGTACATTTTCAGATTTTCGGCCAATAAGTTTGTGCAAATTTCTTAATAAGGTTTTTAAAAAAATTCTAACCGAAAGATTGAAATTAGTGTTGTCGAAAATCATCTCTGAGGAGCAGCCTACCTTTTTGCCGGGAAGAGATACAATTGATAACGTGGTCTTAGCACAAGATCTTTGTCAATTCATAAATCATAAGGCAGTTGGAAAATAAAAATATTGGCCCATGAAAGTGAAACCCTCTCTCTGTGAAACCCTTTCTGCGTGAAGCAACTTCACCGGGTCCAACTGGGTTCAGCCGCTATGGCCCAATCTCGTCCATCGGCGGTGACTCATACGCCGCCGAAATCCTTTGCCAGTTTCTTTCAGAAATCGGCCGATGTGTCTATGACCTCTTTGATCAAGGAAGTCAAGTTTATCAATGGTACTCCTACTTTGGAGTTTGAAGATGAGGAATTTGAACAACTAATTGCCCCCCATCGGTTAAGCCTCGTCGGGAAATTTTCTTATGGTCGGCCGAAAATGGAGGCGATTCACGACCAATTCAAAAAGATAGGATTCATTGGTGCATACACTCTAGATTTGATGAATCCTAGACATGTATTGATTCGATTTGAAATGGAAGAGGACTATAAAAAATGTTGGATTCGAACATTTTGGAATATTGATGGTTTCTCAATGCGAATGTTGAAGTGGATGCCCGGATTCAGATTTGAGGAAGATCCCCCCGTTGTGCCAATATGGGTTGCTCTTTATGATCTTCCTCTCGAATTCATGCACCTGGAAGTGATTTACTCGATGGCTACAGCCCACAGTGCGAGTGAATGAGTCGGACAAGATTGAGGTTCCAGAAAAAAAAGGGAATCAAAATCAAGACGGCAAAGCTCAAATGGACATTGAAAGGAGGAGATCCTAAAAGTAGACTGGAAGCTCAAATAGTTAGTTTGAATCCCTTGGTGGTCAAAGGGGTGGAAAAGGAAGCAATGATGGTGACGGAGATAGTGGAAAGCCAGCCTGCGGCAAAAACCCTAGCTGCGCGACTTGGTGCGCACCCTGCGGATGAAACCCTAGCTGCACAAGTTGAGTCGCGACAACTTGAATCATCTTCTGGTCTAACTGTGACGGAAAAAGAAGCAATCCCGGTGGATTTGCAGGCATCCCCGGTTAGGACTGAAGCCGTCTGTGTTGATGCGCCACCTCTTGTTCAATCGGAAAATCGATTTTCGATTCTCCAAGCTGCGGAGGAGGATGACATCAAAGAGGAGATGGAAAATGTCCATTCTGAAGTTCATACGCAAAGTCAAAAGGAACAAGATGATATTGGTGCTACATTGATTGATGGTGAGTTGGATTTAGACAAGAATAGATCTTTACTTAAAGTTGAGCTGCGGAATATGTCTTTGGTTCCGCAACTGGATCTCACTCGATCTAATGATGATTCATCTGAAAATGAAATCCATAATACCGAGGCGGTCCATGACGAGAGAGAGTTATGGTCTGATGGAGAGATTTATGATGATCACATTGTTGAAAACGACCAAGGCAAGCGCAGTGTCACCAAGAAGCGAGGGCGCAACTCGAAGGAGGAATGAGCTAAACAATCGGAGTGTCGAATTAAGGCGCTCCCTTTGACATCAGTAGGTTCCAATCTCTCTAAAGTATCCAATGATCAGCGTCGTTTTTGGGAATATTCGGGGAATAAAGAGTCAGGCATCTCAGCGTCGTTTGAGGTCCATGATTCAAATTTATAAAATTTCCTTGTTGATTATACTAGAGCCAATGCTTCCATGTCATAAACTGGAAGAAATAAGAAGAGAGTTGAGGTTTGATATTGCCTTTTCCTCTTCCACAAGTAAAATATGGGTGTTTGGTAGCCGGATTTTCACCATCAATATGATAGAAGATGCTGGTCTGGCCCTGCATTTTGAAGTTACATGTATTCCACTTCAAAAAAAATTTTTGTTATCTTTGATATATGCTCAGTCAAATAAAGCTAATAGGAGAACTCTTTGGAATAGCTTGGTGACATTCAGAGGTGTGCATCCTAACTCTCCTTGGATTGTTGGAGGGGATTTTAATGTTATTCGGTCCTTGGATGAGTGCTCGGGTTCGTCGGTGCAAGATTATGGCGCTATAGAAGAGTTTAATCAGCGTATTGATGATACTGAGTTGCTTGATCTTCCTCCCATCGGTGATGAGTATACTTGGGGTGGTACGAGGCATACCGGTTGGGTTAGCAAACGATTGGATCGCATCTTGTTATCACAAGAATGGATTAATCTCTTTCCGAAGATTTCGATGGAGCATCTGAGTCGTACAACTTCGGATCATTCACCACTACTCCTCCAATTTGATGTCCAAGTTGAAAGTAGGCCAAGGTGTTTTCGTTTCCAACAAATGTGGTTAAGGAGACCGGAATTTAAAGAGTTGGTTAAGGAAAATTGGTCTCAGCCTGTCCAGGGTTATGGCATGTTTGCGTTTTCTACCAAGCTCCGCCGACTGGAATTAAAGCTCAAGGAATGGAATAAAGAACACTTTGGAGATGTCTTTGCATTTTGGGATGTTATTGCTGAAGACTTGCTGTGCGCATGTTCTGAATTCATGAGTGGAGTGCCGCTTCCGAAAGGTGTATCTAGTACCTTAATTACCTTACTGCCGAAGAAGCCTTCTTTTACTACATTTTCAGATTTTAGACCCATCAGTCTTTGTACTTTTCAGAACAAGGTTTTCACGAAAATCTTGACTAAGAGGATGAAGAAAGTTTTGCCAAAAATCATATCGGAGGAGCAATCGGCTTTTCTTAAAGGGCACGACATTATAGATAATGTGGTTTTGGCTCAGGACCTTTGTCTTTTTTTTACTCACAAGGCTGTGAGAGATAATGTGATCCTTAAGGTCGACATGATGAAAGCTTTTGATCGAGTATCGTGGAATTTTTTAGAGAAGGTTTTGCTCAAGCTGGGGTTTCCGCAAGGGTTTGTTTTGTTGATTATGAATAATCTTCAGTGCAGCTGGTTCTCGGTGATGGTAAACGGCTCTCCAACAGAATTTTTTAAGGCAATACGTGGTATAAAACAAGGTGATCCGTTGTCACCTTACCTATTAATCCTAGTTGCGGAGGCAATGACTAGGCGTCTAAATTTTTTGATGCATGAAGAAAAGCTAGCTGCGTAGCTACTCCAGTTGGGAGTTTGAGGGTGTCGAATATATCCTTCGCCAATGATTTGGTAATCTTTACTAGAGGAGAAAAGCGATCTCTAAGAACATTGGATGCTTTTTTCAATGATTACGAAATAGCATCAGGCCAAAAGATGAATCGTCAAAAAAGTTTTTTCCATATTGCAGAGTCATATCGGGCGCGAAGGATAGAGATCATCACGGATACTTTGGAGATGCAAAAGGGTTCATTTCCTTTTATGTATCTAGGCTGTAAATTATTTCAAATGAGGAAAAAGGCTTCAACCAATTCTTATTAGATTCGCTGGATTCTCGGTTAGCTAATTGGAAGAATAAATTGTTAAGTACGGGCGGAAGACTTATTCTTTTGAGACATGTACTTGCTGCCATACCAATCCATGTGTTTTCCGCTAATCCTCCCACCTCGGTCCTCAAGCAAATGGAGAAAAGGTGCCAAAGGTTTTTGTGGCAAGGTTCGAGTGAAGAAAAGAGAAGGCATTGGCGCTCTTGGGAACGATTAACATTCCCAACTGAGGAAAATGGTCTAGGGCTGCGCCGATTTAGTGATGTTGTGCAAGCCTTTTCCTATAAGCTATGGTGAAAATTTAAGCATCAACATGGATTATGGAGCAAATTTATTTGCTCACTCTCGGATACTGCAAAAAGGAAAACAACTTTGAGTAGGGTTTCGAAAGTTGAGCAAGAGGCAGCAAAAAATTCAAAGGTTTTGGTCCGAGGAGGTGATAGGTTTTTCTGGTTTGATAATTGGGTGCCCGATGGAATACTTTGGGATTGCACACATGGTTCTCCTCCAATGCCAACTCTTACTATACAAAATTTTCTTACTAATAAGGACTTGCTCTTAAATGAATTGCATGGTGCGCTTGGAATGCAAAAGGTGCAAATGTTGCGTGACATGGATATCCCCCTCACTGGCGAACCTGGTTAGCTTGTTTGGCAGCATTCATCTAGTGGTAACTTTTCAGTAAAGTCGGCATTCTTGAGCCTGAGGAGAAGGAATCCAGTTGATCCGTTGGCTAAGAATTTTTGGCATAAATTGATTCCTCTAAGGGTGTCGTTTTTTGTTTGGAAGCTCAGGAATTTGTTGGTGCCATTTCCAGAGATTTTATCCAGTTTCAGTATCCAGGTTCGGCCCTCTATTTGTTTGTTTTGTAGAATGCATGAAGAGAATATATCCCATTGCTCCTTTGGCTGCCCGGAAATCAAATGTATTTGGGTGCATTTTGCTAACCTGTTTGACATTAAACTAGAAGCTATGGTTACATTGCTGGATTTGTTACAAAAGTGGGTGGAGTGTCGGTGGCTTTACCTTGGCGAAACAATCTATCATTCGAATAATCCCTTCTTTTATTCTTTGGGAGGTTTGGAAAGTTATGAATAAAATATACTTTGATGGTATTCCGTTTGAGAAGGGGAGAGTTATTCATGAAATAACTATCTCAATTCGGAACATTTTGTTTGTGCATGATTTGAAGACAAGGAATGTGGAGGAAAGGGAATTCATTGATAATGCATTTGGTATAAAATTACAAAAAGTCCAAAGAAGGACTTGTATCTCGGTTTGTTGGAAGTCGCGGAGTAATGAAGGCTTTGTTCTCAATACTGATGGTTCGGCTGTTAATGAAGATTCTGGCTATGGTTTTGTCATTAGGTGCTTTGGTGGGAACTTCCTTTAGGGAGAGCATGGGTATATTGGCTCGTATGATAGTTTTGGCGCAGAGGTTTATGGCCTTCTTTTTGGTGTTCGAAATGTGATCATCTCAATTTGGAGCATGTCGACATTCAAACGGACAATAAGGTGCTGGCCCATCTTTTGAGGAATCTAAAATTAATTCCATGGAAATATTACTTTCAAATTAAGGAGATTCATAGTATTATGGAGAGGCGTTCGTACTCAATTTCTCATATTTTTCGTGAAGCAAATTCAGTGGCGGACAGCTTGGCCGGTCAAGGATCACAAGGGCACTCTTGCATTTATACTAGATTGGGGGAATTTCCAAGGCATGCTCGTGGTCTAGTTCGTTTAGATCAAATTTCATTTCCATATGTACGAGTTAGACTCAAATAGCTTTGTAATATGGCAAGTCTTAAGCACTTCCAGACTCTTTTATTTAAAATAAAATTAATAAAAAAAGAGGTAGGGAGGAAGCTGAGGAACCGAATGATGTATATGTCCATCCCTCGGGTAGACCTCTTGGGTGCATTATATCATTTGGCTATAACTGATTCAAAAATTCATCTTTTGGGTAGACCCCTTGAGTGTTTTTGAGTCAGTTAGAACCCGAACTTCTTTCTAAACCTCCTATTTATTTTTTTTAAAAAAAGGCAGTTGGAAATAATGTCGTTATAAAGATTGATATGATGAAAGCGTTTGATAGGGTTTCTTGGAGCTTCTTGGAAAGAGTACTTCAGGAGCTAGCTTTCTCGACTCACTTCATTTTGTTGATTATGAACAATCTCAGGAACAGTTGGTTTTCAGTAATGGTGAATGGCTCCCCAACAGGCTTCTTTCAACCATCTCGAGGAATAAAGCAAGGTGATCCACTATCACCTTATCTATTTATCCTGATAGCAGAAGCAATGTCAAGGAAGCTAAATGATCTTGTCAGGAGAAGGAAAGTTGCTGCTTATGGAACGCCGGCGGGTTCTATGAGGGTTTCACATTTAAGGTTTGCTGATGATTTGATCATTTTTTACAGGAGGGGGAGCTAGGGAATTGAAGGAGTTGAATAAATTCTTCGAAGCTTATGAAATTGCTTATGGTCAAAGAATGAACCGTAACAAAAGCTTCTTCTTGGTGGCAGAATCTTGTAGTGCATATCGGGTTGAAACAATAAAATGGATTTTGTCTATGTCTAAGAGCTCCATTCCATTCATGTATCTAGGCTGCAATTTGTTTCATGGAAGGAGTAAGGCAAGTTCATTTCAGTTCCTCTTGGATTCATTGGATTCAAAGATTGCTAGCTAGAAAAATAAGTTTTAAGCTCGGGTGGAAGATTGGTAATTTTGCGGCATGTCCTTGTGGCAATGCCGATACACGTGTTGTCGGCTATTTCCCCTCAATATTTGTGCAAAAGAAAATGGAGAGAAGGTGCCACAGGTTCTTATGGCAGGGAGCGAATGATGAAAGAAAAAGACATTGGAGGGCTTGGGACCGGTTGGCTCTTCCTACTTCAGAGAATGGACTAGGGCTGCATAAATTTGAGGATGTGTTGCGGGCCCGTTGAGTATCAAAGAATTTGTGACTAACAAATCATTGTATTTGCATGATTTGCAGGGTGTGCTAATGCCGGAAGTGTCGCGGACATTGAGGTTTGTGGATGAAACCCTTGCAACGGGCCGCGATTGTTGATATGGCAGCATTCTTCTTCTGATTCCTTCACCATTAAATCTG